CAACTCATATCATTGTGGGAAAATTCTACTACCAGTCCTTCATCACCTTAGACGAAATAGGGTGAATACATTTTATATTACTTAAATAATACCATCAATAAATAACGTCTAAAAAGTTTTTTTAAGAATCCAAAGCAGGATTGTTGAACAGACCTACGCCATTTCTTGTCCTGGCTGAACTCTTTCAAAATCCGACCACACATCAGAGCATAACCATGTGAATTGTCTTCTCGCTATACTATAACCATAGGTCAGAAGGTTAATACAAATATATTTAAAAAATTGTATTTCTCATAATATTGTTCCTAGATGTTGTTTACTTGTTAGATATTTTGATCTACCAAGGTCTACTAATAAAGAACTTGATCAGGTTTCGTGTGGTCAGGTTAATCTAGGCTCAACGAAAACGGACTACACGAATTAATTAGAACCAAAACTAAGCTTAGACAATCCTTTCTGAAGTATTGACTGATGTGGATTTCCTTAAGTTATAGGATAAAGCTGACGGGCTAGGAGAGGCCACGGGGTCTTCTTGACCCACTGCTAACGAAAGACTTACAAGAATGAGTTCCAACTCTGATGCTGTCCATTATGTGATGGAGGAAAGCTCAGCCCGTTTTCACCAGAAATGAGTCTGGTTGACTGCGTCAAACTGAACTTCTTATTAAAGCCAAGCGACCACGGTACAAGGGAATCAGCCTAGTATTGTGGTGAAATTGACCTTCGAATCTCTACTTCATGCACTTTCCTGCGGAATGAAAATCTCTCCAACAATGCTGTCAGGAGATTCATCGAAATCCTGTTACCCTTCGTATTATTAATAAAAATAGCATTCGGTATGATATGGCCGCATCTGCTTGGCTTTGGTGCTTCGAACAACGTCTTAGCGTCTTCTGGAGGCAAGCCAGTAAAGCATCAAAATAGAAACGAGCCAAAAACTAAAAGTTGTATTGTTTTAAGTTAAAGATGACGTCCCAAAAGACAATGACAACTAAGAAGCCCATTTGGTTCAAGAGGGTTCAAGAAGGAAAGAAAAACTGATAACCATGCGCAATTTTTACATATGATTGGACCTTTCACTTTGTATGAAATGTAGAAAGGATTTGTAAATTAGCCTTACTGGAAGCCGAAGAGAGATTGTCTTGCAGTTGTAACTAAGTTTAAGTGTTTAAGTTTTAAGCACCCCGTCCTGCGATTCAAATGAATCCTTGCTGTACTTTCATATGCCTAGTCTGCGAGCAAAGAATACTCAGCAACGTTCCTTAAAGAGGAAACCAAGAATGGTGGCTGGGTGCAACCCTGCCGACCTATGCAAACCTAATTTTGAAATCCGAATGGGTAATTCGATGCCTACATTGGCTACTTAATGAATCTACTTTGTTCTCGCAGATAAAAGGAGTTGAAGTGAATGCTGTCGGACATCCAGTAATCATGATAGAAGCTTTGTATAACTTTTTAATCATTATTATCTTGAGGTGTTGACTCATTTACTGGAATATTGGTGCTTATTAGAAATAGGTCAAAACTTACCAGCAAAACCTCAGATGTATATCAATTACCTATTATCTTGATGAAGTCATAGGCATTTCCTTTAATTGGCTATAAATAAATCGTGATGCTGTATACATCACATAACATCTATGATTCATACTGCTCATAAGGGGGACCCCTTTGGCGGAACTTAAGCATTTGGAAGCCTACGTCTTGCTGAAAAACGAATGCATTTTACACTTCTCGATAGTTCCGCTTTTGATATACCATTGCCAGGAGCCCTTAAGTATAGCCTTCAGAAATTTAATATGATCCGGATTGGAATTTCACAGTTCAAGACAAAACTCGGGAATTCTCTTCAATTTTTCATTTATAAGCAGAGTTTCGGGACTACCAGTAAATCAGCTATATGACAAATGTATTCACCTATTTTGGTTTAAGGTGATGAAGGACTAGTAGTTGGATTTTCCCACAATGCTATCAGTAGAGTTGACGTTTCCATTGAATTTTATATAGACTTGCTTTGCCAAAAGTTATTCTCATCCAGGATGGACTGCAGTTTCGACCTCGCCTAGGTCTTATCAACACTCCTAGTGTAAGTCGTTAACCACCAAGCCACATTGCCACCAATTCTCTTGGGTCACAGGGCAGGTGTGAATTTCAAGGAAGGTCAGACATTTTCCCATATCACACTCTTTTGTAGGAGTGTCGATGACGCAAAGTTATATTTTCTATATTAATCGACTACATTACTTGTTTTCCGTTTATAAGCAGAGTTTCGAGATTAAGAGTAAATCAATTATATAATGCCGATTGCTATAGTAAATATAAATTTGCTTCCTCGACACTCCCACCAAAGAGTGTGATATGGGAAAATGCCTGGCCTGCCTTAAAATTCACACATGCCCTGTGTCCCAAGAGAACTGGTGGTAATGTGGCGTAGTGGTTGACGTGTCGAGATTACATGTTTCCCCGTCATGGTTCGATTTCCATTGGAGGTGTTGATAAGACCTAGGCGAGGTCGAAACTGCAGTCCACCCTGGATTAGAAAAACTTTTGGCAAAGCAAGTCCATGTGAAATCCAATGGAAACGTCAACTCTACTCATAGCATTGTGGGAAAATTCAACTACCAGTCCTTCATTACCTTAAACGAAATAGGGTGAATACAGCTAATATTCTCTTTAATTATTCATTCATTAAAAAGGTCACAAAATAAAACCGAGTTTAAGACAAGAATAACAAGAAAATACCTATTGATTCGTTAGACTAAGGCGAAAACTTAATGAAACAGAAAATATCCCAATAAAAATTGCGGTTTATTTTAATAGGAAATAGTCAACAAACAAATCGATGTGAATACGCAGACATTTTATGTCAGGAGTGGGCACAAACAACGAATTGAACGATGAAACTATTAAAAACCAAAAGATTTTCTTACGCCATGACGGAGCCATCCTATCATTTTGTTTACATCACCCCAGAAGGATCTCATTCAGATACCAGTATTCATCAGGCCAAAAGGTCTACCAGCAAAATTGTTAAAGCCTTCATACTTAGTTGTTAATCTATTCAATCAGAAGAAGATGGACTAAAAACGGAAGCTAGTCACTAAAATAATTCGAAACAGTCTAGGGACCTGGGTTAGGAAAGAATAAGCATAGTAAGATAATATTTTAACTTTTTTACTTAGTTTTAACTTGAAACTTTCCAGTTAAATGCCAAAACATATAACGCACCTTTTTGGCAAAATCATAAGCGGCTTCGATGCTACTCTTCAGACTATCGGGGAGGTCAAAATCGAGAAATTTCGGTGAAGGCAGTGGCTCAAAGGGATCCATGTTTGATGGAGCATCCAGATCCCGTGCGTCACCAGCCTGCGTAAAGAAGAGACAGTCTCGGCGCAGTCTAAAGAGAATAAATTAAAAAATCAGAGTAATAGCTGAGAGAATAATTAAAACGGGGAAAGCCGAGGGGCTGACGGTATAAAATGTCACATCAATGTTACATCATTTTTCGCCATAGTATGACACGCTTTTGTTCATTCTGATTGCGTTTATTAGGAATCCGAGTTTTGTAAAGATGCATAATTTTCGAAGGTATGAAGACGAAAATAGTGTGGCCTTTTGCGTGGTCGCAGTCTCCTTTAGTTGTATATAAGTTGTTTGACCTTGTTTTCGCCACTTGGTCATATTGGTAGGAAGACTTTGAGGAAGGCACCTAGTCCGGAGTCAATTGTATGCATGATCATTTCCAAACTCGGACCGTGGACATGGTGCATTCCCAGACGTTTCGCTGGCATCGTAGTCATAGAGACGAGTTATTGCGTTGTGCTAACAATGGTGAGACTCACTGACAATGCCGGCGAAACGTCTGGGAATGTACCACGTCCACGGTCCGAGTTGGGAAATGATCATGCATACAATGGAATCCGGACTAGGTGCGTTCCTATAAGTCTTCCTACCAATATGACCAAGTTGCGAAAACAAGGTCAAACAACTTCTAGCATAATTTTCATTTGGTCTTGGAGTAACTAATAGCCGGAAAGGCGAAGCGTATTTAAAACACGATAGAAAAAACTAGGATAAAAATATCGCATTAATAAAAATGCAGTTTACTTGCTAAAATTAGTTTATTAGAAAACCCAAATGCTTAATATTATTATTTTTATATAATAGGCCATTGTGATATAAATATAATGCATATGGATAAGCGCAAATAATCGTTGATATATGTATTCACTGCCTGCGAAGAAATTTTTCTATTGACAATAGGCAAGACACTTCAACCAACTGTTTAGATTATTTGTTATTCTATCCAAGCCATGAATAACTTCCAAAAGTGAAAAAAGCAAATGACATTCGAGAGCTGTCATATTGTTAAGAAAAATTTTCGCAGATGCAAATTAAGACTTTGTCGTTTATTATTTGCTGAGAAAATGCGTTGATAACATAACTCGCATTAATGTCTGTCAAGTAACTTGGCACAGACGAACAATATGATGTCATTGGTTAAAAGCAGATAAATAAAATATTCAATGAAAGTATCATGCATCCGGCTAGAGCCCACTGATGATCAATGGTAGAGAGACAGGAAATAATTATGAGAAGCAAATAAATACTTACAGGCTAATTGGTTGCCATTAAGGCGGGCAAGAGATAGGATATTCATTTGTGCAAGAAGTCTAATCATTAGTTCCCATGAGATAAATAGTCTAATCCTGCCTTGATATTCAATCGATCTACTCTTGTCACTACAACCAAGTTGCAAGTAACACTTAAAAAAGAGCCTTCCAACCCCCTGAGACCGCAGTTTAGCACTTTCCGACTATCCCGTTGAATCCGAATCATTCGACCTTTGGTATCCGTTTATGAATTTAAAGTGACTAAGCTATCGTTGTTTAGGGCTTATTGAATTAGAATAATAAAAATCTCAAACAGTTATTATATTTTTCATTTTTGACCAAAGCTAAAATGAAAGCAAGAGAAATGAAGCAGAATAACCATAGTTGAACCGTGGACGTGGTACATTCCCAAACGTTTCGCCGACTACGATGCTGGCGAAACGTTTGGGAATGTACCACGTCCACTGTTCAACTTTGGAAATTATCATGCAGACAATGGACTCCGGACTAGGTGCGTTCCTCTAAGTCTTCCTACC